TACAAGTTTTTAAGCAAATGCTCTGTTTATGATAAACAGTATTAAATAACATTTACCGGCCTGAATGTCCGAGAAATTTTCATAGTAAATATTCGTTCTTTGACAGGATTCGAACCTGCATCCTATACGGAACCGTCATATACGCTGACGTGCCTTACCGCTTAGGCTACAAAGAAGCGTTCGGTAGACAAGGTCGAATTTACTGCTTATAAACTCCAATTTTCTATGAATCTCGTACATTCATAACTGCTCTGGCGTATCGAATGCAAACAAATGACGTCATATATTAAGAAATGGACAAGGTCCGACAATTTATTTATTAAAGACATATTTTTATGTTTAACGTTGTTATTTTATAGATACAAGTATTTAAGCAAATGCTCTGTTTATGATAAACAGTATTAAATAACATTTACCGGCCTGAATGTCCGAGAAATTTTCATAGAAAATATTCGTTCTTTGACAGGATTCGAACCTGCATCCTATACGGAACCGTCATATACGCTGACGTGCCGTAACCGTCTCGGCCACAAAGAACGTTATAAACAGTAAATTCGACCTTGTCTACCGTAAGGTTCTTTGTGGCCGAGACGGTTAAGGCACGTCAGCGTATATGACGGTTCCGTATAGGATGCAGGTTCGAATCCTGTCAAAGAACGAATATTTTCTATGAAAATTTCTCGGACATTCAGGCCGGTAAATGTTATTTAATACTGTTTATCATAAACAGAGCATTTGCTTAAATACTTGTATCTATAAATAACAGCGTTAAACATAAAAAAAATGTCTTTAATAAATAAATTGTCGGACCTTGTCCATTTCTTAACACAAACATATATATTAAAAAAAATAAAATGTCAGTCTCCGCACTCCTTCAAGCGTCTGTGTTTTTATGTCAATGAAAATGTCAATTTAATCCGATGTAGACATAAATGAAGAAATGATAGATTTTTTTTAGTTTCTTTTTCATTTTTATTACTCCAAATGTTATTTAATAATTTGCACATTTTTCGTAGGCATCCTGCTTTTTTTTTTCAACAGTGTTAATTATGTTTAACTGCTCTGCGAATTCGACAACCTAGAGAAAATTTGCTGTTCTCGGCAGGGTTTGAACTTTCATGTCTTTTTGCAGGGTTAAACACCCGTCAGATCCACTGGACATTAATATATCCATTAAATAATGTTTCGAAAATAATATCATATATGATAGACTCTACCGTCGTTTTTGACGTATTAGCTTCATTCAGTTCAGTTTTTATGTTTATGTTTCGTATGAGACGTCAATTGTGCACGGGATTTGCAAACAAGTTCACACGAGGGACATGCTGAAGGAATGACTGTCATATGGGATGATGTCTTAACCCAAGATTTACTGTTGGTTTGTAATTCTCTCAGATGGTTAAGACGATTCATTTCAAAGTTATTTGTACTTAGATGGCAGGTGTTTCTCCAATTTGCTCGTTTTTCAACAGTGCATTCGAACGCCTCTAGAAGGATGTTTTCAGCATTTAAATTGTATTTGAGTTTGTCCTTGAAGCGTAACCAAGGATGGCCTACATTACGCATACCATGGAAATTTTAACTATACATGCATCCGATCATCACTCATTTTGATGAAATGACCAGCCCATCTGAAATATGATTGCATCACATATATATATATATATATATATATATATATATATATATATATATATATATATATATATGAAGAAATACAGTCGTAAGATGTGCTATATTTGTGCGATACAGTGCTCAGTATCAAAGATAGAGCGTGTGTAAATAAGAAAGTGAACATAGAAGTTAACACTTTGAGGCGACAGTCTGTTTCAAGCTAGACGCAATCATCAGGCCTGACGATTGCGTAAATCAGGAAACAAACTGTGGCCTCTAAGTGTTGACTTCTATGTTCATTTATATATATATATATATATATATATATATATATATATATATATATATATATATTCAGTTGTAATTATTTATTTAAAAAATTTATAACATAAATATGTTATAACATCACTACAAAATAGCCATTTTGTTTCAACCCCCACCCCCCGGTGTCTTATTAAGTGATGATGTTGAATGTAAAATGGTTTTAAAAGTTTCAAATTAATTAACGATCCTTCGCAAGGGGAAAACGTTGTTACAAAAGCTAGAATTACAAATCAAAATACAAGTATAGGAAAATTCAAAAAGCCTGATAACGAAGTTATGTTATAATAGCTATTCAGATCTTTAAAATACGGGTAATATTAAAAAAAAGAATTTATTCTAACCAATAATTATTAAATTATATGATAAAATTTGATATTAAAATTAAAAGTAAAAATTACCAATTTTAAAATCCAAATTTAAACACTATTAAGTTTAAAATTATAAAATTACTGAGGAGAAAAGAAGAAATACATATGTTATTCAATTTATTTCTTCATGGAAATTACGTTAGAACAGACGCTAATATGTCATACATGTATTTTGGATTTATATATGGTTGCGTATATCGGTGTTTTTATGAAAGTGGGAGAAAAAACTGTCTTCCGGACTCCATTCATGCTTACGCAAACATACATACACGCACGTACACTCATTAACCTACACAGACTCACACACACACACACACACACACACACGCGTCCTCACCGGAGCTCACACAAACATAAACGATATTCAATCATCCTCCCACGAGGGCGTCATGTGGATCAAGGCCGGTTTAACGTGGGATCTCCGATCCCGTGGGCTCGGCCAATAATATGCCCATTGAACCCGTATGAACGGGTTCAGGGTCGGTTTATCTACCCGAAAGAGACTCTGCCCTTCGGCGTAACCTCGGGCGGGGAGGAACCCGCCCGAAGGCAGAGAGTTCAACCGATCAGCCAGTCAGCCGGTCGCCCGACTTCGGACTTGCATTTCACACAAACATGAACATATGCGGACAGTGTGAGATTGGGTATACATGCTTATATATGTGTCGTTTCGCAAATGAATAGCATTTGGTCGCTGTATTCAATGTTGGACTGTGTAGCAAATATTTCCTTGCCTGTCGCACTGTCAACGCGCAGACCGTATTTCCTTTTTTGTTTGCAGAATAATATTTACTCGCACCTACGCATATACCCATGATTGTGTCTGTATATAACTATGATAGGTAAAAATTATATAATTGTCTCCGATGGGTCGGTCACATTGCGCGTATGGGTGACAGCCGTCTACCAAAACGGCTGTTCTATGGTGAAATGTGGGAAAGAAAGAGAAATGCATTCAAAGCCGAAGAAGAGATTTAAGGACACAATAAAATCTCATCTGAAACAATCCGGACTATTTGTAGACCAATGGGAAAAAATGGCTTTGGATAGAAGTAAGTGGCGGAAACTAATTCACGATGGCATTGATTCCTTTGAGAATAGCCGTATGCAGTACAGTGCCTACAAACGTCCGATTTGTAAAGGCGAACAGGGTCCAGCACCGGGTCAACAAATTCACCACCTTAATTGTGACATATGCGGAAAATTGTGCCTATCTTTTGCCGGCTTCAAAAGCCATTTGCGTAAATGTGCAAAATCTAGTGTACCAATTCTGTGGCAAAATTTGCCGCAGTTTGGATGGCCTGAAGAGTCAACTGCGAATACATAGAATTTGAGGGAAGTGGGAGGGGGTGAGGGTATGAAATAAAGGAGGTGGTCACACGAAACCGAGAGGACAGCCACGATATATATATATATATATATATATATATATATATATATATATATATGAATAGAGACAAAAGGAAAAATTTTCTTACTTGCTTACCTTTCGCCCCCTGATTGACAGGTTTTCCTCTTATCTTTATTGATACTCCTATTTATAGATATATATATTACATATATATTTATATATTATTTATTATAAAGCCGTTACATACGGACAAACAAGTATTCACGACAAAGATGCATTTTTATTTCGATGCGAATGCGTGTCGCCTGGTGAAGAACATAGATTTCTTATAAACGTTTTTATTTAAAAATACTACTTATAAAATATCACTTTCTTTTTGTTTCATATATATATATATATATATATATATATATATATATATATATATATATATATATATCTTAGAAAGATGTTACATGCGGACAAACGAGTACTCACGACAACGATGCCTTTTTGTTTCGATGCGAATGCATCTCGTCAGGTGAGGAACATAAATGGTTATAAATGTTTCTATTTAAAAATGCTACTTATGAAACATCACTTTCTATTTTTCATTATTCATTTTTTTAATGACATAAGATGAAACACCCTAAAAGGAAAATAAATAAAAGGTTTCCATAGAAGAAGAAGAAGAAGAAGAAGAAGAAGAAGAAGAAGAAGAAGACAGGTAAAAGCAAAAAGAAGGGGATAAGAAGACAATAAAAGGAAAAAAAAAGGAAAGAAGAAAGAGAAATATAATAAAAATTAAAACGACAACACGTCATAACTGCAAAGAAAAAGATGAAAAAAGAAATGAGAAAAATGAATAGGAGAATGATCTACATGAATACGTAAAAAACAGAAAAAAGGAGAAAGGAAAATGAAAGAATCATGAAACCACTTCCTAATTGATGTTGTTCCCAGGTTCACACTGACTAGAGGTGGCAGCTCCAGTTAGGGTTCTACTTATGGGCAAATAGTTTACACCCAAACCGTGGTCAAAACACTATGAAAGTGTAAATATATGTTTTAATAACAGCAATGTATTTCTGTAAAATAATATTACCGGTGACAATTTAAAAAAAAAGAAAAAAAAAAGAAAAAATGAAGCTTTACCAGAAATACTTTTTGGAAAATAAAAATAAATAAAAGTATTGTCTGCATTAAATGACCCATTGAGGTTGATATGCCGTAAAACAAACGAAACCAGACAAATCAAAATGCTACTAAGAATAATTATTAGCGGCTAAATATCACAATTATATTCTGCCCAATCAAAAACGATCTTGAGCATATTTCTAGCAAACTGTCTGGAATATGTGCGATTAATTAGAAGTCATTGATAAAGGATCGTCACTAGTGATAATGATCACTGGGGTTGACATTACTGAACGAAAGGAAAAATGAAAATATTCTACAGGAGATGGGAAATAGTCGTAAGGAGAGAAGAACAAATTAAATAATTGCAAAGAGAGAGAATGAGAGGAAGGATGAGATAGAGTGGAAAACATGACAAGAAAAGAAAATGGCGAAGAAAACAAAAATAAAGAAAACCGAAAGAGAAATGAAAATGAGAAATAAAAGATTAAAGTATTGAATAAAACGAATGAAGCAATTGTAATGCATCTGAAGAAAGGAAGAAATTTGAAAAAGAAATAAAGAAGAAGCAACAAAAAAGAAAAACTAACAGAAAGAAGGAAATGCGAGATAAAGAAAAAAATAAGGAATGACAAAAAAAAAAGAAATTGTTGAATAAAGGGAACAACGCGACAGCAAATAAATCTGATGAAATTTTTTAAAAATGAAAGAAATAAAAAGGAGAGAAAAAAATGGAAGAAAATGAAAGAAATAAAATTATGAGAAAGAAAGATAGAAAAAAATTACAAGAAAGAAAAGACGAAATGAAAAAAGAAACGAAATTGTTGAATAATGCTATAGCAAAGGAATCTGATGAAGAAATATTTGAAAAGAAAAAAATGAAAGAAATATAAATATGAGAAATAAAGAATGAAAAAATATTAACATCATGTGTAATAAAAATAATAGAAATAGAAAAAATAGAAAGGAATGAAAAGATAATACAACGAAGAAAAGAATGATATCATGAGATAAAAGAAAAACGAAAGAAAGAAAGAAGAAAGGAACAAACAGAAAAAGAAAGGTCATAGCAAGATAAAAGAAATTTAGAAAGGAAAATTGAAGTTGAGACATAAATAAAAAAAGAAAGAACATCATCGGAAAGAAAGACCCGAATATATAAACATCAAAATGATAATGTTTTTTTTTTTCTGAAGTGCCCAGGTTCAAACCACTATAAAGATAAAGCGAAGGCATTGTCTGTATAAAATCATAATGTCACGTGATCAGAATCTCAGATTTTATAAAAAAAAATCTGAATAAAATTCTAATGAAAAAAAAGAAACAGAACAAAAAAAAAAAAAGCCCCCCCAAAAAAAAAAAAAGAATGAATGTAAACAAATGAAAAAAAGAAAAGAAAATAGAGACATTTGAATGGCCAAAGACGCATTCCAAAAGTGGCGAGCCATGATCGCCTACGTCCGGAAAGGACACTGCACATAAAATGAAAGAAAATCTTAATTTTATTATTACTATATCACCATTATATTCATTAGCCTATCCGAACGTGTGTTGGGATGACCAAAGACGCATTCCAAAAGCTAGACAGTGTATTGCGAGACAGGAGCTTTTCTTTGGTACTTTGGTAACAAACAAAAAAGTACTCAGCCCTTACATGACATCTGTCCTCCTTTACGACAACGAATGTTGGCAAGCTTCCACAAAGATAAAGAAGAGACTTAAGGCGGCGGAAGTGTTGTTCTACATATAGATGCTAAAGATATTACGGACCGAGCGCGTGAGCAACGATGAGAATTTCGAGAGGATGCAAACAAGAAGCAGTAATATACTTAACATCAGAAAGAGGCAGCTGAAGTTTCTGAACAGGTAAAGAGAAATGAGGGCCTTGGGAATCTTATACAAGTCGAAGAAAGGGATATAGAGACAAGAGAAAGCAACGCATGGCATACCTGGCAAGCTTGAGTAAGTGGATGTCAGAATATGCTCTGGGGAAGTGGTAGAGAGACGAAACTTATTGAGAGCTACAAGTGATAGGAGGAAGTAGAGAGACTGATCGCCTCAGTCATGAAAGGACACTGCACATAAAAAGAAAGAAAACCTTATTTTTATTATTACTATATAGCCAATATTTTCATTGGCCTAATTGAACGCGTAGTGCGATGGCCAAAGACGTATTTCAAGAGCTGGACAGAGAATTACGAGACAGGAGGATTTTTTGGTAACAAAGAAAATCATACGTGACATCTGTCCTCCTTTAGGGTATCGAATGTTAGACGGTCTACTCAAAGATGAAGAAAAGCCTCGAGGCGGCGGAGGTATGGGTCTACAGAGAGATGCTAAGGATATCATAGAGCGAGCGTATGAACAACGATGAAGTCTTGGAAAAGACGCAAAGTAGGAAGAAGCTTATACTTAACATCAGGAAGAGGCAGCTGAAGTTTCTGCGACACGTAATGAGAAAGGACGGCCTGGAGAATCTGATACTCACAGGTCGAATAGAGGGAAAGAGAGACAAGGGAAAGCAACGAATGACATACCTGGCGGGCTTAAGCAAGTGGATGACAGAACTTAGTCTGGGGGAGTTGGCGGAGGGACAACACTAATTGAGAGCTACAAGGGATAAGGGGAAGTGGAGAGCCATGATCACTTACGCCCTGAAAGAACACGACACACAAAAAAGGAAACCTTATTCTTATTAATCAATCGCTATTATATTCATTGTTCTATTTTCTATGTCTTGCACTAATTAATCAACAGGCAATAGCGGACTGGACTGAGTGAGAGCTTACCGAATGGCAATGGGTCATCGATTGAATGACGCTCCCTATATAAAATAAAAAAGAGCAATAAAGAAACACAGAAAACTGCTTTAGTAATAAAAAAGCAATAAGGCATTTAAAATCATCTGCGCACGAACAGTTACTGCTGTTTAATGTGAGAGGACAATTTCAAATCGAATGATCTTAAAGATATGATTAAGACATTCATTGTCTGAAGAGAATTTGGAATCATAAATGCTGCTATTCGCTGAAAAGTATGTATCTTACTCCCCATGTAAACCATTTTGGAGATTTTTCTAGGTTTATGCATATGTCAATATATGACCCTTGCGAGGACTTGGTGGGTGGTAAATAGTTTTTTTTTTAATCACGGAATTGGCTATTCAGTTTTTCCAGGAGCTTTCCAATAGTCTATTTTGCAGAAGACAGCTTTTGTTAAAAGTAATATTGATATCCGTCCATTTTTCGCACTATATGTGTGTCTTGTTCCTGTTGTTGCTTGAACCATGTAGCTTTTTCATTCAGCATTTTGTTGTTTTCCCACATCTTAAACCAGATCTCGACTTTCTGGTTACTGATCTCTATTATTATTATTATTATTATTATTATTATTATTATTATTATTTTCTTTGATTTCTGGCGTTTACACATTTCTTTCCGGGTCCCGCCCAGGGACCTAATGTTAGAAATGGCATCATGACACTTTCCACTGACAAAAAAAAAAAAAAAAAAAAAAAAAAAATTACATAGATAAACCCTTCGTAAAGTGTAAAGTGTGGGCTGTACTTCTCAGACAAATTTTTGTATCTCCTTGAGGCATGGGCTTCCAGGAATCCCTTCAATTAGTCTATTGCAATCTTTTCCAACCAGTCCTAGGGCTCCAACTACAACAGGGATTGTTGATGTTCCCATATGCCACATTTTCGAGATTTCTATTTCATGGTCCTTGTATTTTGACAACTTTTTGAATATCTTCAAAGATACATTGCAGTTAGCAGGGACTGCCATATCAATAAGAAGGCGCTTTCTTTGTTTGTGGTCTTTAATAATAATATCTGGGCAATTGGCTTTGATTGTTCTGTCAGTGTGTATTGTGTAGTCCCATAGAATTGTAACAGGTCCTATCTCCGTGACCGGGTCTGGGTGATTATTATTATTATTATTATTATTATTATTATTAATGCTTTCTTTTTGTTACTAAAACCGAACAGTGTCTTTTTTGCTACATTCCTTCTTCACATTCACAACGATATAGTCCATTATTTATCAGATATAATGGAAGTGCTTAACGGACATCCGACCGGAGGGGCCCACATAAATACAATAGGGTAATTATGATAATGAGTGAAAACTCCAATGATTAAATATTAATAAATCATAGCATTACTGGATCTGGCTCGATAGAACTGATCTTCCGCGGTAAATTTATAACCTACGCTTGTGAAGATCTGTGATATTATGTGTGGTTACAAATATATAAAAACATATATGAAAGACCTCGATGTTTCCAAAAGTTTTCATTTTGGAGAAAAAGCATCATATATACCATGAACTATGGAGTATGTATTTTTAAGCGTCCAAAGTAATATTGGTGAAGTTATTTCTTTCTTTTTGTTGTCCAGTATAGCGTTTCTTATGTTTATCATTTCATTCATTTGTTGTTTTATGAAATATTTCTTTAAAACTAAATTCTAATGAGGTGTGTCAGAAATAAATGTTGCACAAAAAAATGTTTCGAAATAATTGCAGTTTTTCATCTATAATATAATTTATGTAAGAAAACATCTAATTCCATCGAACTTATCCCTAAATTTTTTCATCTTAGCACTTCCAAAAAAAAAATAAAAATAAAAATAAATAAAATAAAATAAAAAAAAATAAAAAACAGCCAAAGCCTCGGTTATATTGTCCAGTTCACAGAGGTTTATACATTTTTTTCCCCGTTTAGGATTGGGTTCCGCCTCCTTCTAAAGTCTTCTCATTCTCTTTCACTCCCAGTAGCTCCTTCCGTTGGGGGCTTGGAGTAAACAGATAAAAAAAAATAGTCAAAAACTTTTTCCGACATTGATCTGTTTCCAAACTAGACTTCCTCTCAGTATTCTCACCCCGCTTTTCATGAAGTCAAACGCTGGTCTTTCATACGTTATTACAATAACATTATCGTGAGTGCTAATAATTTTCTGTCAGTCACTTAGTACACAAAATATATTTTTATGTGTTGAAAGTTGCAATTTTCACGCTGTACTGAAATAAGGTTCTCTCAGCTCCTAGTGACAGTCAGTACATTCAACACCATTTCAGAAGTCGTACCGGAAGTTTCCTAAGCTGTATACGGAATGATTGTCTCGTACAAGGGTAATGGGTGCGCAGTTATCGTTCATTGATTTCAGCTCTGTTGAGTTAATCTGCAAATAGGCCCTGTGCAATCAACTGGGATTAGATAGGCGCTTTTGAAACTCTGATTTGGAACAGCTCTGAAATTCTTACGATGTTTGATATAGTCAAAGGAACTAATCGGCATCATATATTAGTTGAAGCCCTGAAAATCGTCGAGGAGTCATCGAAAACGTTACGCCAGGTATTTGGCAGACATTTTTTATCTTATTTAATGGAACACATATTGAACGTATTTTTCGATGTCAACCATTATTCGGCCCGGCTGATCAAGATTCAAGCTGACAAGTCAGGTAAGCTTTTTAACTTATTATTACTAAATCCAGTTTTCTCGCGATAACATTCATGAGCATAAACACTTTAAAAAATCAAAAGAAAACGGTTTAATCAAGACCATCTGTTATATAAAACAAATAGATACGAAAATAATGTATCTATAAAGGAATAATAAAATTTAGATTAAATAATAAAAAGGAACTATAATGTAACATATAGTGTTATTATTTGTAACATAAAATGTTATAACATGTGATGTATTTATATAAAATAGATATATAAATAATTTAACAGATAAAAATAAAATTTTAAATAATAATTACAATAAATTTGAAGGAACATACACAAGCAAATTATAAAATAAAAATTCATCAAGTTTGAATGCATTTACTCAATTTCGTTTATCAAATTACATGAACTAGCGTCCACCGTAGTTTCCACACACACACAAACACACACACACAAATATAGATACATACACAAACACACATATATATTAATGAATGTTTCATTAAATAATATAGACAAGTTTTGTCTATTTATTTTAAGTAAGTTCCTTTCATATTGTCTGATAGGCTTAATCACATTATCGTTGAAAGACGAGAGGAAAACACCAATTGATATACCACAAACTCGCTTTCACGGTACTTGATTCTACATTTAAATGATACCTCTAACATTTTT